TCAACAACAACAGCAACATCAACGTCAACATCAACAACAACAACAACCTCAACAGCAACATCAACGTCAACCACAACAGCGACAACAACCTCAACAACAACAGCAACATCAACGTCAACCACAACAACGTCGACTACAACAGCAACAACAACGTCAAGCACGACATCAACAACAACGTCAACTACAACAGCAACAACAACGTCAACCACGACATCAACAACAACGTCGACTACAACAGCAACAACAACGTCAACCACGACAGCAACAACAACGTCAACTACAACAGTAACAACAACTTCAGCAACAACAACAACAACGACATCAACCACAACATCAACAACAACTTCAGCAACGACAACAACAACAACAGGTGAGTTATTTAAAACTGATCAAGTTATTAAAAAAAGATGTGTGTTTTGGTATAATGTACAAACTATGGTAGTGTAAGATACATAATTCGATAAAACTATTTGCAATTTGTACTCATTACATTATGTATAACGTTTCTCGACAAGTTCGTCATACAAATATAATCAGAACATCTCAGTTATGATGTCCGAACTGGTCTATAAGTGTTGGATAGTAAAATAGTTGTTTTTTTCTTTCTTTTGATAGTATGTACTCTATCTTCTCAATCATCCTGGTCACAAACTGCGACTACTATATTTGGCAGTCAAGCAGGTATATCAGGCTCTAATCTTACACTTCTTTCAAATCCAATTGGAATGTATTATGACGGCCCTAACAATATGTTGATGGTTGCGGATTATGGAAATCAACGTATTCTACGATTTTCTCTTATTAATGTGCCTTCAGTTGCAACAGTAATTGCTGGAAGTAATGGGTACGGTTGCAACATGAATCAATTCAGTGGTCCTGATGGAATAGGTGTTGACAGTTCTGGTCAATTGTATGTAGCAGATTTTACTTGCGGTCAGGTTGTTAGATTTTCATTAAATTCAAATTCGACGACATCTGGAACACTTCTCGGTTCTGTAGCTCTAGCAACAATGATATCAATAAATCAATTGACTAATGATATCTATGTAGCTGGCTATAATGATAATGCGATATACAAATTTGTTGGAGGTAATGGATCAGTGGTAGTTGCAGCAGGTACGTGTAACTCTTTTACAGAGATCTCTCGTTTAATATTGGTTTTATTTTCATATATAGGTGGCAATGGTAATGGAAATGCCTTAAATCAGCTTTCAAATCCAGTTGGTGTTTACTATGATTATTTGTATACAAATTCTTTGTACGTTACTGATATTGGTAATAGTCGTGTAATGAAATACCCATCAGGTTCAACGAAGGCAACTAATGGAACAGTTGTCGCCGGAGGTAATGGAGTTGGAAGTGGAGCGAATCAGTTGAATACTCCACGATCTATAGTGGTCGATAGTAATGGAACTCTCTATATAGCTGATGGATGTAAGAGAAATTTTACGAAAATAAAATATTCCATAGATTAAACTATTATGTTTTACTTTTCTTCATGTTCAGATAACAATCGTATTCAACGTTGGCTGCAAAATGCAACTAGTGGCACTACAGTTGTTGGTGGTGGTACATCAGGAACAGCAGCGAATCAACTCAATTTTCCTGAAACAGTTCTCTTTGATAAATATGACAACCTATTGGTTTCTGATAGATTTAATAATCGAATACAAATGTTTGGTCTAGCAACATGCTAGTGTATAACGACTTACTACTGATTATTATCGTTAATAGTATAACTTTAAAAAAGTCGGTTAATGTGTTGCCTTCTTCATGAGTGTTCAAGTATTGATTCATATTTATTTTGTAACATTTCTCTCATCGTGCTTATATGTTTAATAAAAACAAAAGTATACGCTTTATAATAAAATATATTGTGTGAGATAATCGGAAAGCGAATAAATTTCGTATTTGAAGAAAAACCAGACTTGGAATCATTTTTATCTTGATAGTGCATTTTCTCTTCATGTAGATATATAATATCTTTCTTTTTTGATATGATGGGAGAAGACAAAGACGATCTATCGAATAAAAACCTTTGAAGTTCAAATAAATATTTCATAATGTCTTATCATATTTAATTCAATTCTTTAACTCAAAATTTTCTTCATTATAATTATTGAAGTCAAAGATTTTCTTACAATATTTTTAATTTTATATTAATTTTAACTCGAAACGACTTTCGTTTTGTTCTTGATTTTTATTGAAATATTTTCAAATTAGTTTGTCAAGAATACACATGGCTACGGCAGGATGTGGGAGGGTATTGTATGAGTATTATATTCATTACATACTTACTCACACCCTAGTCATATGAGAGAAAAAAGGTCAAATGGAGAGGAAACTATAGGGAAAATTACATGGTCAAGCTACAGAAGGAACCAAAAAAGAGAGGTCCTATATGTAATGGAACGACTGATCGTTCGTGCTTTATTTAACCGAAAAAAATGAAAAGAAAAGTGTTATTAAGACCATCCTCGATTGTTCTATTATCTTTCAGATATGGTGTGATATTCTTTCGCTGATCCTTTTCGATATATTTGTTTATGACATGATCATCGTTCGATACATGTCATTGTTCAACGTATGACGTGATCACATGATCATGCACGTATACATATATACGCCATACGTTGATCAAATATATCATCATCCTCTTCTTCTCCCTCTCTTTTCTTTTCTTCTTGCTCTTCTCTTCTGTCATTCTCTTTCAAATAAACTAGGTACAGTGCTTACAAAAATGAATATGAAAAAAAAAGAGAGAAGAATAAATAATGAATGATTATCTATCCATGTTCATCGCCAATGAGGCGGAACGGTCAAAGAAGAGAGCGACAGAAGAAACAGAGAGAGGGGAAAGAATAAGTAAGAGATAGTGATGGTTGAAATCTGTCACAATATCTAAATAAGTTGATAAGGAGATTATCATTTCATTTATAAATTTATATTCAAAGACATGACAATGGCAAATAACAAGACACAATGTTTTACATGTCATGCGGAAAAAATAACATATTCTTGTAAAGGATGTTCAAAAGAATTCTGTTTAATACATTTAACAGAACATCAACAAATATTAAATCAGGAATTAAATCATCTTATTAATGATTATGATCAATTTAAACAAAAAATTAATGAACAAAAACAGAATCCACAAAATCTACAAACCCATTCATTATTAAAGCAAATTGATCAATGGGAAAGAAACTCGATTGAAATAATTCAACAAAAAGCACAAAATTGTAGAGAAATTGTCATTAAATCATCACAAACATTTATTAATGATATTAAAATGAAATTCAATGATTTATCTGAACAAATAAAACAACTTCATCAAGAAAATGAATTTAATGAAATTAATTTAAATTATTTAAGAAATCAATTAACAGAAATTACAGAAGAATTCAATAATCCATTAAAGATTTCTATTAAAGAAGATTCACAGTCATTTATTAAGGAAATTTCAATTATTTCATCAAGAAGTAAGTTTTTACCAAATAAGTTCTAACTGAATAATTCTCATTTTCTATGAGTTTATTTTAAATAACTGTAATATAAAAAAAAATATTGAGAATATTATTGATTTATTTATCAATTAAACCAATGAGGATAGTATTCATATCAAAATTCTAAATCAAAATAGATAATAAAATCAAACAGAGTGTCACCTTTATATAATAAATAGAATAGTAAAAACAAAAACAAAATTTCTTCTTCTCATCTAAATCTTTTGTTTTCATGATTTTCTAGAACCGAAATTTAACAAATGGATACAAAATGCCATCACTGTAGCTGGTGGAAATGGACAAGGACAACAATTTAATCAATGCAATTATCCTAAAGGAATTTTTATTGATAAAAATAAAAATATTTTCATTACTGATTGTTGGAATCATCGTATTGTTGAATGGAAATGTAATGCAAAAATAGGACAAATCATTGCAGGTGGAAATAAAGAAGGAAATCGAATGAATCAACTAAATGGGCCAAGAGATGTGATTGTTGATCAAAAAAATCACTCGATCATCATTGCTGATTATGAGAACAAACGAGTGATTCAATGGTTGGATCAAAAGCAACAAATTCTCATTCACAATATTGACTGTTATGGTTTAGCAATGGATAAATATGGATTTCTTTATGTTTCTGATCGGGAAAAGAATGAAGTGAGACGATGGCAAATGGGAGGATATAATAATGAAGGAGTTGTAGTGGCAGGTGGAAATGGAAAAGGAGATCAACGCAGTCAACTCAATGATCCGACTTTTATCTTCATTGATGAAGAACAATCTATTTATGTGTCAGATAGAGATAATCATCGTGTAATGAAATGGAGAAAAGGTGCAAGAGAAGGAAGAATTGTAGCTGGAGGAAATGGTGAAGGAGCAAATTTCAATCAATTGTCTTATCCTCAAGGAGTAATTGTTGATGATCTGGATCAAATCTATGTGGCAGATTCAGAGAATCATCGAATAATGCGTTGGTGTGAAGGAAAAGAAGAAGGTGAAATTGTTGTTGGTGGAAATGGAAAAGGAAATCAAACAAATCAATTAGATTGTCCCATGGGTTTATCTTTTGATGATGAAAGAAATCTTTATGTTGTTGATTCGGGAAATGATCGAATTGAAAAATTTGAAATAATTTAATGAATAATATTTTGATTTTAGAAAAAAGGAAAGAAATTTTTTGTTAAATTAAAAATCGAGAAATAAAAATAAATGTATTGATAACAAAAAAAACGAGGAAGAATCTTTTTAGTTGTTTCCTTCAAAATTGAATTTAACTTGATCAGTTTGACTAAAAAAATTCGAATAAATAAATGTTAAATAGTTCATATTTTATTGATTTTTGTCAAATTTTACATAAGAAAAGAGGAGAAAATATTTTATAATTGGAATCAAATTGAAATAAAAATCGAGTTCAATTGAATTTTGTTGAACAAAACAAATGAATTTTTGATAAAGTTTACTATTTGATTTTGAAAACACTTTGAACAAAATTTAAATTAAAAAATGATTTGTCAAAACAAAACATTACTTTTCCGGTATTTTGCTTCACTTGAAATGGTTTATCATATTTCTTTTTCAAATCAAATGTATAGTCGAAAGAAAAAAGATGAAATATCAAATATTATCCTTTTACAAAGTAGTCACAAAAATTTATTCGATAAATAAGAAATGCAAAGGTATGAGTGTGGATATTGTATTAAACACCCACCCACACCCTGGTTTTTGTTACATAGTACAATCAGAATATGTTGAAATCGACTATACATTATGTAACAAGCGTTATATGTATATTCAATTTATCTTGAATAAGGATAGATTCCAATGAATTCTTGTTGACTTTTTGTGATTTTCAAATGTAAATTGTGTTTTGTTTTTTCTCATTTCATGATAAGTATCATATTACATGTTAAGAGATAATAGTTTAAATTGTGCTTTTGTAATACATCGTAGCTATTTTTTAAAGGTCTTCTTCTTCTTCTTCTTTGTTATAAATGAAATGTAATAGATACGCATTATAACGTGGGGGAAAAATCCAGGTATACCAATTTCGGAAGTAAATGAAAAAAATAAAAAAGGATTGTATATAAGAAGATGGTTACAGTTTAACTTTTCATTTCTTTTCAAAACAAAGACGACATACTAATATACAATCAAAGGTATCGAGATTATTTTGATAAGAGTCAGAGGAGAAGTTTCAAAATATTGAAGATCTGTAAAAAAAAAGAAGAAGATTTGAACCATGTTTGAGAGGATCATATAAATTTTATTATTCGATTTTATTTGGATTGTGACAGTCAATGATTCTACGAAGAAGTTGTTGATAAAATATTCTATAGGCTTTGAGCTCTTTGCTAAATCAAGGATCCATTCATAGTTAGATAAACCAGTCAAAGCGCAATCAAGTATCACTATTCGAAGAAAAAATGCTTTCCGGTTAAAAATTTATTTATCTGAAACTTACTTTCTCTGCGCTAGAAATTTTATGTCCTAAATGACTTACCGATTCTGAGTGCACTTACAGTTACAATTAGTGGTATTCTTAATTTTGAGTGTGTAAAATGAAGCATTTTAAAAGCGTATTCATATTTGTGACTTAGGTAGAAAGAACTCCTAAGTCAAATGGATGTGATCTCTATAATGATAAATGGGTCTCATAAGTATAACTTCACAATGCTTTCTTCTCCAAGTTCTTTCACAAATTCAAATGAGGGCAAATCCATCACATAATTTCTATAACATAATTGCCGGTTTTACAGGAGGAATAAACTAACAATTTTTTCACCAGTAGTGTACTTCTAACATTTCTTCTTAATGGATTTTACCTTTTCAGAACCACAATCAACATTACCAAGAAAAAAAGCAACAGCTACAGTATTATCACAGCCAACACTTGGAAGGCTACCTAAACCTAATTACCAAAATATGGAATATAATAAACTTATTGGGAAAAACGAAGAAGAAGATATAGAGTTGGTTGCAAAACGAGCAACTGCATATGATGCATCATCAGAATATAAAGTAAGTGATGTTATATTTAGGGATACTAGTTTAGTATTGGCATTGCATTATCCTAATGCAAAGCCAGCACCTCTAGTTCTGTTTTATCTGAGTTTTAACCAGAAAGTAAATTTCTTATGTGCATGAGTTTGTCAGAAAAAGTTACGAAATGAAATAACTATTTTGGAAAGATCAAGAGGGCAGTTAATTCTATCTTTAGTAAATGTTGCTTTTATAAAATCCAATTTTATGAAATACGATCTGAAAGAAAGTATTGAAGTTTTGAGGGTAGAAAAGAGGGCG